TGGTTATCTACCCTAGAGAAATGAAAACATATGTTAATATAAAAGCCTGTACATGAGTGTTTATAGAAACTATTCGTAATTATGAATTATGAATCCCCAGACTGGAAAGCATCCTGAATATCCTTGAGTAGGTGAGTGAATAAACACACCGTCAATTTTCATACCATGGAATACTGCTCAGCAACAAGAAGGAACAAGACATTATGATGAATGAAAGAAGTCAGTCTCAAAAGTTTTCACATGGTATGATTCCACTTACATAATATTCTTGAAAAAACAAAACTATAGAGATGGAGGACAGATCAATGATTGTTAGGGGAGTTAGGGGAGGGAGGTGAGCTAGTAACAACAACAACAACAATAATGGGATAGCATGAGGAAGTTCTTTGGGGGTGATGAAACTATTTTGTATATTCATTGTAGAGGTGGTTCCATGAATCTGTACTAGTGTTTAAAATCATAGAACCATATACGAAGAGAAAGAGGTCAATTTTACAGTATGTTAATTTTAAAAATTAAAATTAAAAAAAGAAAGCAAAGGCAAACAAACAAATTAACAAGGAAAGCAAGATATTTTCCCTTTTGAAATATCTATTGGGTAGAGCACATTAGCATAAATAAGCAAAGTCAATGGTAAATGGGAGGAAGGAATGGAAAAACAGATTCTTAGATTGTGAGGCTCATAGATTAACCCAGGGTTAGCGAATACTCTTGTTTGTGGCAGCCTGTATTTCTAAAAATGGCTGCAACATTATGTGTCAGCCTATCTTGCTACTCCTCCATCAAGAGGTCTGTGTCCGTACCACTTGAATTTGAGATTGCATACACCAAGGGAGTATGGTGAAAGCAGCAGTACGTGCTTCCTGAGGCTGTCATAAAAATGCTATGCGCTTCCTCCTTGTTCCCTTAGAACACTCACTCTTAGAACCCAGTTAGTGTATCGTGAAGACTTCCAAGTAGCCCACGGAAAGGCTTATGTGAAGAGGAACGGAGGTCTTTGTCCACACAGCCCTGGCTCATCTTCCAACCAATAGCCAGCACCAACTTGCCAACCACATAAAAGCCACCTTGAAAGTAAAATCAAACTAGGTGAACTGCCTAGAGCAGAGTGTGTCAGCCAAGTCCTGGCTAAGTTGGCTACTCATGAGCAAGGTAAATGATTGTTGTTGTTCTAATCTACTAAGTTTTGGGGTGGGTTTTTACACAGCAATAGGTAGCTAATAGAATGTTTTAACTCCTTAGCACCAACAGATGAGACCTTCCTGGCATTCCTGGGATGGGATGAGTTTGGAGCAAAAGAACACATGACTGAGCAGTGAGGTGGTACACTGGGCAGAGGACTGAGTGCTAGCATCAGTGCTAGTCGCCTGTCCTGTCGGATCCAGCACTCTCATTTTATATTTGAATAAGACGCAGGGTGCAGTTGTGATCTGCTCAAGATCACACAGATATTTTGTACCAGAGCCAAAACTCCAAATCAAGTCTTCTGACGTGCAGTTTAGTGTTCTTTTCACTCTGCCTGTCCATTTCCAGTAACAGATTCCAGAGACCTGAACCACAGGGTCTGGGGCAATAAATATATGCCGGGTGCTTCTTACCCCTCTCATGCCTGTGACAGACATCGTTAGTTAAGTACAGCGCTTTCCTAAGGTCACTGATGAGCATGGAGATTATAGACCCAAATTGCCACTAGAGAAACTGAGTAGAAAAATGCAAGAGCTATAACTGATTTGTATCAGGAGTGTCAGAAGAATACAGCAAAGGCAATCTCAAAACATAAGCTGTAAAATGATCTAATATGGAAGTGCATCGTGCATGAGAAAAAGGAAAGTATTTAGACATAACCACTTGGGATCAAGGATGTCTGAAACGACACATAAGCTTCTTACAGAATTGACTAGGGAATCACTTTCCACATCCTTGAGGAAATATGTTGTAGATGCTATTAGACAATTTCCATTTCATATTTTACTTATTTTGTGGGGCGCCTGGGTGGCTCAGTCAGTTGAGCATCCAACTCTTGATTTCTGCTCAGGTCACGATCTCAGGGTTGTGGGATCCTGCCCCACGACGGAGTCCATGCTCAGCAGGGAGTCAGCTTGGGATTCTCTCTCTTCCTTCTTCCCTGCCCCCGACTCTAAAATAAATAAATAAATCTTTTAAAAAGAACTTATTTTGTTGTTGGAAGAAAACCTGTTACTTTAGTTCTACAAAGTATATTGTATACATATAAAATTTGGCCTCATCCTGAATACAATAGAATTGGAATGCATACAACACATTCAACAGAGCAGTAATGGTGTCTTATATACTTTGACGGTTCTGTTCTTCATAATGCACTTGTCATTGAGAGAAAAGCAGGCTCAGAAAAAAATATACGATTTCTAGGGTATAATTTAAAAGTGGAGGTTATAAAGCCAGGGCACTGTGAATTTTAGGGTAGCTCCCTTAGAACCAGATTCTCAGATTCACTCAACATAGGACCAAGAGCAGAGCTTCTCCCAACTTGATCATAGGAGTACAAAACACCCTGCAGAAGCAACCACAAGCAAACTCCCAGAAAAATAATGATCACTCTCTCCCTTTCTATGATTCTGAGTAGGGCATGGGGGTAGGGTTAGCTATGAAAGTTATTTGAGAAAACCAAAGTGGCCAAGTTCCTTCATTAATCCATTTGTTCACTGAGTATCTACTATGTGCAAGGTCTTCTGTTAAACACTACTTGGAACACAAGGATGAAACAGGAGTTTTATCTTCAAAGATTCTTTAGCCTGGACCCCATCCTCCTCTTTTAATAGAGTAAGATTTGAGAACAAGAGCCTAATGAGTTAGAAATCTGAGTATCAGCCAATGGCACCCAAACACAAGAACACCGGGTTTAAGCATTAGAAGCAGGATACATCACTACAATTGTCTACACAAATCAGCAGGCTTCAAAAATATTAACACAACCCTTTCTCTCTCTCTCTTTCTTTCTTTCTTTCACTCTCTCTCATTTTCTTCTGACATGGATTACATTATCATTTGCAATATTACTAATTGCTGGATCACTTAGATGCATTACTGTGCTCTTAGGAAATTATTCCTGGTAATGAAATTCTTTTCATCAGTTCCACTTTCAGATTTGCAATACAGGCTTGTCCTTTAACAAGTAAGTGTTCTTTTCAGAAAAATATGCCGCAGATGTGGCAAAACAGAAATATAATATTCTTGGAAGTGGGCTAGTTTGGATAACAATTAAGCTTTCGTATTTGGATTTTATTCTTCTAGTAATTTCTCTGTCCCCATCCAGATTTTCACAAAGGTCGAAGTCATCATTTTGTGTAATTTATTCTCAAATCTTCAAACAAAGGTCAGTAAGATTCTTGTTATATCTTCTCAGATTTTTTGTAGTAAGGAGCTGTTGATTTATATTCCCCCCATTCTTTTCTGGAATAGAATATTTCAGTAATTTCCACCAGGTTTTCCTAAATACCAGCAACTTGTTTTTCAGTGAATAAACTTAACCCGATTACCTCTCAAAGGCCTATAATATCTATTAAGTTCCAGGGCACAAGAACAAGACAGAAAATATCTTTCTTATCTGTAAAATGGGGATAAAGTGCACATTGTAAGGTCAGTATGAGAACTAAGCACAGTACAAGAAAGCAGAGAGCCAGGTATATAACAGGAATTCTCTAAATAATAATTTCCCTTTGCTTCCTTTTAAAAATGACAGTACTAAAGCTCAGGATTTAATCATTAAAACAGTGACAGATGCAAACCATTCAAGTCTCAGTCAACTTTTCGACACTTTGATATGTAGAATATTTGACATTTCTCCTTCCTTCTTCATGGAAAAAGCACCCCACATCAGGGAAAATGAAAAATTTGGGGAAAAACACCTATAATTTCATCATCCTAGCACTACAACAGTTTCCATTTTTGTCATGGTCTGGCTTTTATACAAAACGGCCACATTTTCTGCACAGTCGCCACGAGACTGTGCTTCGCATGGCATCATCTCTTTTAAGGTACTAAGAGATTTATTCCAGGTGATAGTGGGAAGCTGCCGACGAGGAAGGAATGCAAAGCTGCGGAGGTGTTAAAGTTCTCTCACATTGTTCAAACCTTTCTCCAGCACAGAAACTCCACAAAGAACTCCTCGGCAGTATTCGTTACCCAGGGCGGTTTCTTTAAATTGTTTGACGTCAGAGAAGGAATGCTATAGCAACAGACTGTCAAACTGGAATTAACTCAGAAGAAAGATGGGGGTGGGGAGAGGAAAACTGCTCCCGGGCGGTACTGACTTCAGAGGAAGCAAATTGGGTAGTTGCATTCATTTTATGACATTTTAAACATAAAACACCCGGAGAAATGTGAAAAAAAAAGTCGGTTGAGATTCATATGATGTTTAACTCATGCAGTGATGAGCGACTTGCCAGGGTTATCGGAAAGGCCTCGTTTCCTCAGTAACAATAACTTCCAATGATTGGTCATTTATTTAGAGGCAGGCTCTGTGCAAACGGTATCTCATTTAATATTTTAGCACCTTTATGAGGCAGGTATCATCCCTATTTTGCCCATGACCGAGCTGAGTCCCTGAGACGTCTCGTACACGGTCACCCAGCGATGGTAGAGCTGGGATTCCAACGCAATTTAGTGTGACTCTGGGCTCCAGTTTACTTTCTTAAACGTAAAATTCCAGACTGTTAAACCTAAACGGGACCTTGGGGTCCTCTACGTCAGCCCCCCATCCTGCCCACGAGCAAACTGAGGCTTCTGAAGTGCCAGGAAGGAAATCGGCCACACCACTTGGGCGCAACTCAGAAGTGTGCTCCGGCGTCCAGGCGCCACAAGGACAAGAAAACGAAACTGCCTGGGAATTAATGTTTTTCTTCTTCTAGCAGGAAACGAGAGAGAAAATAGGAAGCAGAAGCTGCGCGCTGTGCCCGCTGCCTTCGCCCCCCGGCCCCCCGCCCCGGCGACGCGCGCTCCAGGGCGCGCGCGTGCCCGCGGCGCGTCCCCAGAGGGCCCGCGCGCCTCGTGCCTCGCGCCTCGCGCCTTGAGCCACGTCCCCGCCCCGGGCCCGGCGCGCCGCGGAGTTGGCTGCTGGGCGGCGCGGGACTGGGTGTGGCCGGCGGATCTCGGCGGCGCTGGTCTCGGCGGTGCGCTGTGCTCTGCACGCCGGCTCCGCGCTCGAGGGGCTGCTGAGCGCTCGAGGGGCTGCTGAGCTCCCCGCGGACTCAGGCAGCGGCCGGTCGACGCGGACCCGAGCTCCCTCCAGGTAGGCGGCGATCGGACGCGCCGCGGCTCATCTGAGCGCCCCGCGGGGGGATCCCGGGCTTCCCGCAGGGGGCGTGGGGCGCCTCGGGGCCGCCCCGGCGGAACCCCGCCCGGTGGTAGCGTGGGGCTGGCCGGGTCGGGCGCTCTGGGCGGCGGAGCCTGCCCGGCAGGGACGGGACGGGACGGGCGCGCCTTGGTCGAGCTGTGCTCCCGCGCGGGGGCCAGCCCCTCGGCCGCCGCCTCGGGCACTTCCTGGGCGGCTCGCCGGACCGCTCGCTCTGGGAAGCGAGGGGGCGGCCTGTAGTCCCTCGGCCTCCAGACCCCCCAGGTCGGTCCCTACGCCCCGAGGCCTCGCCGGGCGACTCAGCGCGAGCTCGTGGTTGCCCTGAAAATAGCGGTTATTCGGGACTGCCCAGAAGGGTTATTGGGTAGCTCATAAAAGTTTTCCGCTGAGTGCTAAAAATGAGACTAGTGGTTTCGTGTTAAATTTGTTTTGGAAATGATATGTCTAGTATTGGGGCGCGGGGTAATGGATTATGAATTCTTGTAAATTCTGTACATGATAAAATGTTTTCCTTTTCTCTCCACATTCTTTTTCTGCTTCAGAACACAAATGATTGCCTTCTACTTTGATATTTATTGCTATACGGTAAGGGAAGACTGAATTTCCAAAAGTTTAAAAACAGACTAAAAACAGACTTTCATTTGTTTATAGAAACGATGCTTTGTTATTTTGCATATCGCTCACTCTGTCTCTCTCTCGGTGTCTCTCTTCCCTTTTCTCCCATTCCTTCCCCTTCTCTTTTGGTAGAGGATGTAAATACATCTTTTTCTCTTTCGGCCACTGGCAGAATAGCTCGGCGTGTAGATTAGCACCCTGCTGGGAAGTTTTCTTAAGACATTTGAAATTTAATTGTTGATCAGAACGCTTTATTATCGTTCCTTCTTAGTGTTGCAAACTGAGATTGTGACCTTTTAGTACATCTTCTAGAACACAGTGCACGCACTGCTTATTTAAGATGAAAGGGAAGTCTTTTCTAGTCGTGGAGGAAAAGGACGGTTTGGATACATAAAATTGTATGCTTTGAGTCTCTTTGCCATTGTACATTTTAAGACTCTTTAGTGTGGAGCTTTTGGCGGCTCTGAAAGTTTATTGTATATTTCAGGATTTGGCTAAAGATCATTTTAAGATTTTCCTTGTTGCATTTTGGTTTGTAGATGAATTTGAAACTGAAATAGAAGCTTTTAAAATATTTTATTGAACGTGGTTAACTATCTTGTGTATACAAATTTATTAAATTATAAAATTGGTTACCGTGGTTTGCAATACATTCAGGTTCATCTCTGTGAGCCATAAGCATTGTTTAGGGGGTTATTCTGAGTCATTGGTCTTTGTTAACCTGTAGAATTGCTTCTTGTATTGTTTTTTCCAGCTTTATTGAGATACAGTTGACATATAACATGGTGTAAGTTTAAAGTAAACAACGTGATGACTTTATATTCATATATATTGTAAAATGATCACCATAGTAAGATTGGTTAACACATTCATCACCTGTGTGTGCCTGTGGCTATGTTTAGCAACTTTCAAGTACAGAATACAGTGTTAACAGTAGTAACCATGCTGTACCTTATATTCCCAGAGCGTACTCTTATAACTGGAAGTTTGTACCATTTGATAACATCTCCCCAGAATTGTTTCTTTTAAGTCATTGGCCCTTTAGTATGTCGGCACATATTTTTACACTTTAAAAATAGATTCTGGGACATTTTGAAAGTTGAGAATTGGAACAAAGTATCGGACATTTTTCTGCCCTTACCAAGTACTGCCTGAGATGGTGTGATTTCTCGAGTTTTTCAGGCGTGTTACTAAAGTACACTTTGTTACTAGTTTCTTTACCTTGCTGACTGGTTTAACCTGGATTTGTTGTAGGGACTAATTATTAGACATTTGTTCTGGGCCAGGGGTGATGCTATACATTATTCTGTTTATATCTTACATGAACTTGGCAAAGGAGGCATTCTCCAGTTCTACAGGTAAGGAAACTATGCCCCTGAAATCTAAAATAACTTGCCTGTGGTCATGTAGCTGTTTAGTCACTCAACTGGGATTCAAGGCCAGACCTCTCTGAATCTGAAGTCCACGTTCTTTCCTCTGTGCCACATTGACTTCGTGCCAGGACATGAGGAATGACCCTCAGTTACTCGTTAGCATATTTGTAAATTTTCCAAGACATGCCAGAGATGTGGATTTGTTTTTCCAGCATGGTTGTTACTATCCGTCTGTGTTATTGTGCAGATCCTCATGTCAACCATTCTCTCACCTCTCTGTTCCTGGTTCAATGTCTGGCTCACTCAGAGTTCAAGACCTCCCTCTTGCAAGGGCAGATTTTCTCCTGTTGACATTAATAGGTAATGAAAACTTGATTATCCTTCCAAAATAATAACCCCATTTTAATGTGGGTTTTCTAGAGCCATAGATAGAACTATTTTGGAAGGTTATAAACAGTATGACAGTCTCTTTTGAAATATGGGAACCCTCTGATATTCCTCAAATTAAACCAGAAGATATTTCTTTTAAAGATTTTATTTATTTATTAGGGAGAGAGAGAGAGCACACAAGCAGGGGGAATGGCAGGTAGAGGGAGAGGGAGAAGCAGGCTCCCTGCTGAGCAGGGAGGACAATTCGGGCTCGATCCCAGGATCCTGACCTGAGCCGAAGGCAGATGGGATGAGCCACCCAGGCGCTCCTGTGTCTCCCATCTTAAAATTCTTTTCTTGACCTATTATTCTGCCCCGTGTCTCTGGCTCCACATTGAGAAAGCATCATTTTTTTTTTTTTAGAAAATGTAATTTTTTGAGAGAATAAAAATAAATACAGGAGAGGATAACCAGAAAGTAATTAGTTACCTACAGGGGGTGGTGGGTAGGAACTGAGTAGAAGGCATAATGGAGGGAACAGCACTGCTGTGATTTTATCTTTTTGTATAGTTTTGGAAACTTGTTTATGTTTTATATGTTCAAAAATAAAATTAACAAGTTTGAAAGAAAAATCCTCCAAAATTTAATACAAATAGGAGCAAAGGAACCAACTATATTTCAATGAATAACATGAATTCTCTGAAGAAAAGAAAAATCCAGGTAAGTTTTTAACACACCACTTTGACTATCTACCTTTAATCTAAAGATAGAAAGGACTGCCAAAAAAAAAAAAAAATCTTGAGTCCTGAGTAGTAAACTGGTTTTTTATAGTGGTAGAGATATAACAAGTCTTGGACTATTTTGTATGTATCATAGAAATGAGCAAATGAGTAAATTCATAGATTTTTTAAAAAGATTTTATTTATTTATTTTACAGAGAGCACAAGCAGGGGGAGAGGCAGGCAGAGGGAGAGGGAGAAGCAGGCTCTCCGCTGAGCAAGGAGCCTGATGTGGGGCTCGATCCCAGGACCCTGAGATCATGACCTGAGCTGAAGCCAGACACTTAACCGACTGAGCCACCCAGGCACCCCAAATTCATTGATATATTTTGAGGTAGGGTTTTCACTGTGGGAGAAGGGAAATAAAGATATGAAATGGAAGAAGGCAGTGAAGCACTCTTTGGTGTTGGATTGGATTTAGAGTTACATATTTCCTAGCTCTGTCTGATGGAAAGGTCTAGAAGCAATGACACCCTAGTAGCAGTGAGCACAAGTAGTGCCCATATCTAAATGGCTGATTTCAGGGCTGGGGCAGGGAAAGTAGAAGAACGTAGAACACAAGGTTAGGAAGTATTCCCCCAAATGGTGGTAGCACATCAAAAGGACATAGGAACTAGCTCGAACAGCCAAATCTGGGAAAATTTGAGCCTGAAAATGAATAATGATAGTAACGGATTATAACCCATTGAATAAAATAAGAATCCACAAACTTATAATAAATAAAGGAAAAGGAGAAAGCATTTTCACTTGACTGCCAGTAAAAATGTAGAAAGAGCAATAGAATTAGAAGAGTGACTGGTTTACAACCATCATGGTCATGTTGATTCACACGAGTGTCACTAATGGAGAAAATTGGTTGAGGAAAAGGGTACTAATATGGTTTCCAGTGGTCTCTCCAGAGATTAATGACCGAGGGGAAAAGGAATACTTCACAGTGCAGAAATCAGGCAGACACCATCTCAACCAAGTGATGAAAGTTAACATCTCTATTAGCGGGATAAACAGGTTCCTCTTGGGGCGCCTGGGTGGCTCAGTTAAGTGTCTGCCTTCAGCTCAGGTCGTGATCCCAGGGTCCTGGGATCCAGCCCCGCATCGGGCTCCCTGCTCAGCCGGGAGCCTGCTTCTCCCTCTGCCTCTGTTGCTCCCCCTGCTTGTGCGCACGCGCGGGCTCTCTCTCTCTGACAAATAAATAAAATCTTAAAAACAACAACAACAAAACAGGTTCTTCTTGATGTGCTTGAATTGGGGACATCATTACTTTTCTGTGGTTTTTCTAAAATGCATAACCAAAATCTACATAGAGGAAACAATTGAGGGACCTTGATTGAGGGTCGTTCTACAGACTTTTCCAATATGCTAATGTCATGAAAGACAAAGGCAAAGGAAGTGTTCTAGATTAAAGGATGTGTGGGGCATTTGGGTGGCTCAGTCGGTTTAGCATCTGCCTTCAGCTCAGGTCAAGATCCCAGGGTCCTGGGATTGAGTCCCGTTGAGCTCCCTGCTCAGCAGGGAATCTTCTTCTCCCTCTCCTCTACCCCTCCCCGCTGCTTGTGCACCCGCGCGCGCTCTTTCTCTCTTGTGTGTGCGCTCTTTTGGTCAAATAAATAAAATCTTAAAAAAAAAGGAAAGAATGCTAAAAAAAAATAAAGGAAGATAGTTTAAGAGACTTGACAAAGTGCAATGCATAATCCTAGATTGGATCTTGGATTGGAAAATCTAACTGACATCAGGACATTGGCAGAATTTGAGTAAGTACTGAATATTAAATAATAGTATTGCAGGGCGCCTCGGTGGCTCAGTC